GCTAAAGGGCATCAGGGGATAGTGTTGAGTTGGACCCTTAGAATGGAGGGCAAAGGACTAAGTGGCATTGGGGGGAGCATTGAGTTGGGCCCTCGGGGTGGGGGGGAAGGACTAATGGCCAGTAGGGGAGAGGGTGAAGCTGGGTCCTCAATAGGGAGGGTTGAGTTGAGCTTTATTGATGTTTTAACGAATACAAAGCTGCGTACATTTGCATATTTTAGGTCTGGAGCTCAACTTTAAAGTTAACACTTCAAATTGATCCGCCATAGATTTTTTTCCCCCTTGGTACAAATAGACCTTCCCCGCAGGTGTAGGCGGAGAGTCTACTTTAAAAGGTGAACATAAAAGGTTCAAATAAAATCCAGACCAAAATCTCTCTCTGAAGGTTCGCAAAACCCTTTAAAATGTTAATTAAAAATGAATGTTTTTTTTTGCCATTGGCCCACAGCAAAAGAGACGCAGCAGACCAACCTCCCTGGAGAGAGTGATCCTGTTTATCTAACCTTCTCTGGTTGTGGCTTTTTAACGCCTATTCATGTATTTTCTTCAGTTTTCCAAAGAGCTATAAAAGTTTTGGCAACCTATTCTCAACTGTAAAAAAAAAAAAGAAGAAAAATCACAATAGCCCTGGGAAATCAAACGCCCCGTTACAGCAAAACTCATCACTGGTGTAACATAAAATAGAAGGCGAAACTTTGATGTGAGAGGATATCCCCTGCTTGTTTACACTGGAGAGAGTACAGATACTCAACGACCCCCCGTTATTTACGTTGGGAATATTCCAAATTAATCTCGCTGTGAGGAATGTGTCCTTAGAAATTCTGCACAAGGCATTCTCCGGGAGAACCCAAAATACCTCCAACTTTTTTTTTTTTCCCTTTGTGCTTATAATAGTGTATATCCACCCGAAGTAGCAAGGGTTATTGGCTTAACTCCAATGGGATGGGGTAATCTCAGAGCAGAGCCGCTAGAGGAGCATCTGAGGGGAGACATCGGAGTTTGTAGGAGCATCTTGTGTGGAATGTGGAAGGTTAGACTTTGTGGTCTTTATTCAGCTATTAAACTTCATCATTGACCATAGATACGCTATGACCAAAAGCCTGTGAACATCTGACCAGGACACCTAACTATATGACCGAAAGCATGTGAACTCCCCTCAGATTGATTGAGTTCTGTCATTTTCAATGAAGGGTACTGGCAAAGTGTATGCAAACCTTAAAGGAGAACTATGAGGTGAGTGCTTTTCCACATAGTTCTCCCCAGGATCCCGGGAGGACACAACTAGCGTCCTCCAGTGACACAAAGCTCAGTATATCGCGAGCTACAGCTCCCGATATACTGAGACCGCCGCAGTCAGGACGGATCCCGACATTACTGTCTGGATCCACCCAGCTACGTGATTGACAGCTGGCTCTACCTATCTAGAGGCAGAGCCAGCTGTACCCACCCCCTCCCTCGTCCGTGCCGCCAGTCAACGCTGGAGGATCGGACAGAGGAGGGGGGGGGGAATCCCTGCAGGGAGCCATGAGTGACAGTCACCACTCTCTGCAGGGACATGATCGTGAAGTGAGCGAGCGACCGTATGTGTTCCCTCACTTCCCGATCTATTGAGCCGACCTGTGACAGTCTCATTGTCACACGTCGGCTCGAACTATGAGGATGAGAGATTTTCACTCACCTCATAGCTCTCCTTTAAAGCCCAAGTGAACCCTCTGTATTTATAACTGCATTCAAGCTGCAGTTAAAATACCCGGTGCCGGCAGAACCTTGGACAGTCGGACCGTTGCTCTCACACACAAGCGATGGCCCGGGTCTCCTGTGCCTGATGCATCCCCATGCACACTGCTCCAATCCCTGAGCAGCTAGAGCATGGTCCACCATTGTCACCAACAGGAAACCCACCCTGAGAAATGCCATGAAGCCTTCACTGGAGGGCATGTGGACAGGAAGTAGCTGCAAAGATACTGCAAGGGGATGAGCAGCACTGAGATGTAACAAAGGATAAAAAAAGGTGAAAACTGGTAATTTATATTTAAAAAAAATAGCAATTGTTTGTAATTAAAGTGCTTAGCAAACTACTTTCCAACCTGTTCGACTTTATGTCTACTTTCATATAAGTGTCACCAAATATCCTATGTGCTTTCCCTTTAAGCGTGTTGCCTTCCCCTGGCTCTGCTCAGCCTAGAAGAGTCACTTCTTGCACACACCCTGCCACATTATTAGATGTCACTTTTTGACCCGCAGTTCCTTCTAACACGAAAATGTTTCCTACTCTCTCAATAATGAGGCCGGACTGGGAGAATATAGTGTGTGATGGATAGCTGCATAATAATGTCTTTAATGATGATGGGTCTTCCAGAGGTCTGGAGGCCACCAACCAGCTGTGAATAACGACACTCAGGAGCAAGAATATAGAAAGTCCATGAAAACGCAACTGAGAGGCACACGGGGCCATGGTGAAGAATGAAAGTGAAGGAAGTGCCCCTAACTTTATTGTTGAGATACTCCTTTGTGCCCCCGAGCTGGATAGTGATGAGTGACCGGTCTCCTCAATGGTCCTCCAAGTTCTACAGGTCATGCCTAAGTCATGCAGGGTGCCCTGTAGCCTCCTCTTCCTGGCGCCCCTGGACGTAACAGTAGGGCTATGCATAGGGTTAGAACGCCATTTCCAAAAACAAAATTAGACTAACACAGAGATGAGCTTGAAAGGAACAAGGTGACCACTCAGGTTATGGAAACCACAGCCAACCTGGGCATGCGACTTGTGAGCCCTCGTGATGAACATCATGTATCCCCAGCATGGTGCATCATACTGAGTAACACTAATATACAGGTGATGGGCATCATGGCTTCTATGGGTTTTAGGAGAACCATTCCAGAACCAAAATTAGACTTGCATGGAAATTAGCTTAAAAGGGACAGGGTGACCACTCGGTTATGGAAGCCACAGTCAACTTGCGCATGCAGCTTGTGAGCCCTTGTGATGGACATCATGTATCCCCAGCATGGTGCATCATACTGGGTAACCCTAATATACAGATAATGGACATCATGGCTTCTATGGGTTTAAGAAGAACCTTTCCAGAACCAAGATTAGACTTGCACCGAGATGAGCTTGAAAGGGAAAGGGGGTGCACTTGGGTTATGGAAGCCACAGCCAACTTGGGCATGCAGCTTGTGAGCCCTCATGATAGACATCATGTATCCCCAGCATGGTGCATCATACTGGGTAACCTTAATATACAGGTGATGGACATCATGGCTTCTATGGGTTTAAAGAGGACCTTTCCAGAACCAAAATTAGACTTGCATGGAGATGGGCTTTAAAGGGACAAGGTGACCACTCGGGTTATGGAAACCGCAAGCCAACCCAGACATGCATCTTGTGAGCCCTTGTGATGGACATCATGTAACCCCAGCATGGTGTAGCATGCTGAGTAACCCATATATACAGGTGATGGACATCATGGCTTCTATGAGTTTAAGGAGGACCTTTCCAGAACCAAAACTAGACTTGCGTGGAGATGAGCTTGAAAGGGAAAGGGTGACCACTAGGGTTATGGAAACCACAGCCAACCTGGACATCCAGCTTGTGAGCCCTCCTTATGGACACCATGGCTTCTGTGGGTTTGAGGAGCTGAGAGATAGGTAAGCCATTTAGATTACAAAAAAGGGGGGAGGAGGGGGATGAAAAAGTCCTACATTCCATTTAATACACAACATTTGTAAATCCTACTGGCTCTAGTTTTTCTCTTGGTATTGTTATTCAACTTGGAGTTTTTCTCCCATTTCCAGCCGTTATACTAAGACCACCCAGTACGATGCACCATGCTGTGCATACCCATAAATGTCCTCTCCTTGACAGGCATCAGCCGACAGTTTGCGCGCCTGGTGGCTCTCAATCCCAGCTGTCATTGACAGTTCC